ACTTGACAGGCTTGCCTTCCTCAAAGTAGAATAAAAAGAACAGTTGCTAGCGTAAGCAAATGCCACGTTTCAATAACCAATCAGGATCGAGATAGCCACACTACGTCACTTGCAGGTATCCCATTTAGTTAAAATAATCAATAGAAGTTGAATGATTTTTAAATATTATAAATAATAAGCTGCATTCTTTATCGCTGAATATCATCTATAATCTATCAAATGTTTCTACTCACAGAACCGCACGAATCGTTACTTAGCTTTAAAGAAACCCTTGTAAATGCTTGCTATGATTTTTTTAGTTATGATGATATTCCCCAACGCTGGCCTTTTACGTTTCATAATTTTTTTCACGAACGCATTTCATCAAAACTAGAGCATGCGTACTAGATGTGCGCATGCGCAACTTCTTGAAATCTTACGTACGGAAGTTAAAGTAAATTTGCGAAATCTCCCTATTATTTTTATTAAAATGCGTTAAAGCATTAGTTATATATATATATATATATATATATATATATATANNNNTACAATTCAACATTCTATATATATATATATATATTCACGTTAGGTGCTTGCGTAATATTTGAACCACCCTCACTGTAAAATACATTACCTACATTCTACGTAATGTATTAACTGCAATAATAATTTTAATAAATGATGAATACAAAAACTATTTAGGCAAAAAAAATATAAGGAGAAAGCTATAATAAGTGCAGGAGTACTTTAAATAATAATAAAAGTGGTAGGGAAATAGGGAAGAAAAAAAATGAAGGGATAAATAAATTCAAGGAAGGTAAGAAAATGCCCTTCAAGATCACTCCAAAAAAAACATTTTTCATATTCCAAATATTTTTTTTTTTAATTTAAGACACATCTAAAGAATAAAATGATTCGAATCTTAAGCGGTATAAAAATTCTTCCTTTTTTCCTCAAAAATTTTTGTGGAAAAAAATTTGCTTTAAATTGTGTTTTGAACTATTACAATATTTTCTAATGAAACAAATCTTACAGCAGAAAAAAATGCCAAAGACTCATAATATTAGCGGCTTTAGTTTATTAACCTTGTTACGTACTATCATTGATAAAATCTAAAAGAAAGGAGTATTTAAAATAATCTGAGGCTAGAATCAATGGACAACTAGTCGAGTGTTCATTTTGATACGCAGCTAAATAAGCTAAGGCGTCCTTTTAGCTCTAAATATAAACAAAAACCGGCTGTTGAAGCAGAGAGTGTCTCTTTCCTTGCTTCGGAGATCACCTTACTTATTGAAGAAAACATTCAAACAATGTGTGTTCCTGCTGAATCAGAGAGAGTTCTTTTATTATTCATTCATGAACCGTATGACCATTTTTGTAATGAAAAGTCATAGGTACAGTGCTAAAAAAAAAAAAAACGGACCTTGAATAACTTTCGATCTAATGATCCGATCTTCACGTTCTAGGACTTAATCTTAATGCTTCGAGGGGGTAACCTCAAATAGGCAGACGATATTTAAGTTACAAAATCGGAGACAAAAAGGTACTTTCTCTTCATAAACATACATTTCTTTTCCAACAGATTCCGATTTCTGACCCTAAAATATAGAGGATAGACGCAATTTGGAAAATAGGCTCCCCGTAGTTCGGTCAAGAGAGTGATCCTACGTTCGGTAGGTAAGATCAGGGTGGTCATTTTTTTTTTTTTTTTTCGCTCCGTAGACCTAAAAGCAAAACGGGGCAAATTTAAGGCTGCTTTTTAAAACTCGTTCGCCAAAGAAAATAAATGAACAAAACACAATTTTAGTGCCTCTTGAACTCGAGATAAATTTTAAATTATGTTCCATAAATACCATTTCCTTGAAAAGAATTGTTTAAATGAAAAGCCATACAGAAATGTTTAACTTTTAAGAAGTATTAAACATTTTTATATTTTCAAAAACAGGCTTTTCAAAAACAGATTTTTCAAATTCTGCGACATTTTAGAACTTTGATAAAACTTCTTAAAATAAATTATTAACTCTCCATTTTTGCACATAAAAAACAATGCGATAGATTAATTAAGACTAAAGAGCAATGCATGCTTTCATCCCAAATGCTTTTTACTGGGGGGGGGGNTTTACGGGGGGGGGGGGAATGCGTATTTTGTTATTTTGAAATTTCGTACCATTTTCATATCAGCAAAGAAGTGACTGGCTGACATTCTAACTACTAATTCTGACTCTCTAACATTCATATATATACATAAAAAAAAAAAAGAAGTAGCACATTATTTCCTAAAAACGCCAAACGGTGGAAAGGCCTTTCATGAACAGCTTTATGATAAAGGAAACGATATTAGTATGGAACAAAATAAATGAATGCTAACACTCGTTATGCATGTGGGAAAAACACAATTTTTTTTAATATAAAAAATAGCATATTGCGCATTGTTCCCTCCCTTAAAAGTTACTTCATATGGCGAAAGGGCCTTGCAGTAAACAGCCTTAAAAAAGAGCCAGAGAAAACAGCCAGAGGTAACCATATGGTATGGAATAAACTAAACAAATAGGAACGCTTATTATGTTGGAGGGAAAAAAAAACCTAGAGTTACACATTAAAAATAGCATATTGCAAAATGTTCGCTTAGTATTGCAAATGTATTGCAAAATGTTCGCAAAAGGGCCTTATGATAAACAGCCTTAAAATTAAGTGCAAGGGTTATAACAGCGAGTGGGAACAATATGGTAAAGGAGTAAACTACACTCTTATGCAACTGAAACCGGCCTCTTCCATTCGTTCAATCGCTATTCGATTGTGACTAGTTTCCTAATTCGATTGGAACATTAGATGACTATCGAAATAAAAGGGTTGTCCATCGAAGAAACTTATTTGCGAATCACGTAGGCTATATTCGCCTTACGCGTTGTCTCAACTGTGACTTATAAATTATCGTCTGCTAGAAAAGTTTCGTTCTTATTATAGATATTTGTGTCTGTTATCTAAAATATTGCTCTTTAAATATTTCAAAATATTAACAACATTTTTTTAAAAATTAGAATTGAATGATTTGTTTAATTTAGAAAAATTATTTCAAACGAATTCGGATACCACGATGAAGAGTTATCATTTTTTTTTTTAAAGATTCTCCCTTATTAAATAATTTAAACTCGTATGATTGTATATTTTAAATTTTTAAAACAGGATAACAGTACTTTTTACAGTCATCAGGGATTGGTAATTTTCAATCTTTTGCACAATTTCAAAATACTTATGTATAAAAAAAATTTCAGTCTGTATCAAGAACTCTAATGAGATAATGTAATTGCTACTACCTTGTGAAAAAGATAATTAATAAAATATTGGTAATTTACTTTTAGTAGTAGCAAATAAAAAAACATGAATTAAGCTACTCCTAATGAAGATCGAATCATCGTTTTGGATCCTGAAATCGCTTTAAAAATGCTAATAAGTAATTCGAAATATTTGCATCTCTAAACTAAAAATGAATGTACCATTATTTAATGAGCGTATTATTTATATAAAATTGTTGTAGTTTATTTACGTCGCCTATTGTATACTAGAGAAACACATTGGGCTATTGGCGACGGTCTGGGAAACATCCCTGAGGATGATCTGAAGACATACCATCACAATTTTGATCCTCTTCAGAGGGGTACTTCATGGTAGAACAGTTTAACGAGGACCCATACCGCACACCCCTGTCCATTCGTAGACTGATCCAAGTGGTCACCCACCCGCACATTGACCGCAGTCAGTGATGCTTGACTTCGGTATTCTAAAGGGAACCGTGTCTTAACTATCAGTCGAGTGCAGGACAATATAAAATTGTAACGGAGTGTTAGTAACACATAACCAAGTTTTAATTTTATTCGGGTTGCTCTCCATACGGAGGACATCTGCCTAAGTATTGATCAGAAATAGTTCTATCGAACTAACTTTTGAAGCTATCGTGCTGTCACGTGACAAAAAAAAAAACGTTCTAAATGTTTCAGTTGCGTCAAGCAACGAACATTTTTTCGAATAAATCGAGAGGAAATCACTAGTTCAACCGAATTTTGTTTCAGTTGCATAATGGCTACTAAACGAAAGGGAACACTTATTATGAGGGAAAAAAAACTCAGCCTATACATTTAAAATAGCATATTGCATTCTGTTCTTTTAAAAGCGTTACTACTTATGGCGAAAGAGCCTAACGATAAACAGCCTTAAAATAAAGTGCAAAAGGAAACAGCCAGCTGGAGCAATATGGTATGGAGCAAATAAAAAGAACTGGAACACATATTACATATATATATATCAAATCAAGACTATTTTATATGAAGATTTGCTCTAATGATCGACGCATAATGATTTGTTTTTATTTTGAAATTGCTACCAAATTTATCTAGAAACAATATTTGGGCCAAAGGGAAGTAAGGTTTAACCACTTAACTAGATATCAAAATTCCACAAAAGGTTTTTAGGAAACATCTGGTACTCATTTGGCGACCTTAAGCGAAAAAAATCCCCCTAACTACAATTCAACGATCCATATAAGATTTTTAAAACGTATCTGGCGCTCAATCGGTGATCTGGGTTGTGAAACGAAGCAAGGCCTCACTACAATTCAACATTCCACATAAGACTTTTTTTAACCCCTTAACGATTGGTTAATTTTCTAGAAAACGGTCATAAAAGTGCCTATTTTGCAAAATACACGGATTTGATTAGTGCTGACATCCAGTTTAAAATAAACTATCTACAATGACCTTAAAAATATCTTGGAACTGCCATCTGGTGTGTAAAATGAGAAATAAAATGTTTTCCGGGCAAAAGAAATGAATTAGTTTTATTCTTATTGGTGCGTTACTACTGAACACTCCAGCACGGAAATTTCACGGGAGCGAGAAATAGAGGGCGAAACTTCACCCCGCCATTTTCACGGAAGCGAGAAGGAAGGGGTTAAAGACCTCATCTCCGGTGATCTTGATAGTTAAACGAAACAAAAAAAAAGAACAAAACAAAAAAGAGGGGGATACCTGTGAGGAAAGCAAGGTGGAAAGAATGGCTTCACGTACCCCAGGTTCAGGGCAGTCCTGTATACTTCCAGCAATATAATTCATATCCCTGGACGGAACACTCCCGTTGTAACACAGATGGATGTTCTCAGTGAACCTGTGTTCCACCTCGGCCATCGAGAAAACACAGATAGCCGATCTCCCCGAACTTCGAGCCGTGTGATCCCTGCTGGCGGCAAACACTCCCACCAGAACATCTCCTTCTTCGGTCTTCACCAAGTGGGCATCCTGCAGCAGGTTGTAGTCTCTGCCGTCTGAACCCAAGCACTGCAAGGTCGTCTCCACGTACGAATCGTAAGCCGCGTCTGTCACGCACACCCTCGCCAGTCTGGAGATGTATCCCCACTCCTCTAAGGAACGCAGGTGAGAACGTCGTTGCAACGTGGCGAAGTACACATAGTCTCCCGAATGGAAACCGTACACGTAATCCACCAGATAATAATCTCTGAGTTGCGAGCTGATGTCGACACGCGAAATGGCTAAGAAAGACTTTTCGATCACAGCGAATAGTTTTTTACCAACCTCCAAACTCCTGCTGCAGATGGCAGGCACCATGTCCCGGTAGGGTCCCAGGCGGCTGTTCGTCGTGGCGACGTACAGCACGTTAGACGGGTTGCCCATATAGCGCGCAGGACCCACGAAGGCCACGGTTGTACTGGTTTCGTCGTTGGCGGCGACGGGCAGAGGTACCATCGTTTCGGCGTCCGATATGTCATCTAAGCTATGACGCCTACAAGCACCCTGGTACACACTACCGCACACAACAAGTCTCCTGGAATTTTCATCTATCACTAAGAGTTTGTTGACGTTGTCCACCCCCGCCAGGTTCTGTTCGGAGGAGCAGGTGCCTGGAAAGCAGTTGATGTCGTCGTCCACCGGACCGGTCAGCACCGAGTGTTCCAGACGTAGGTTGGAGTCGAACTGAAAGAGCCTGTTGGTGGCACCGACGTAGACTCTACCGGTGACTGGGTCTACGGCCATGTGTTGAAACAGGATTGTTTCGTTGGGGGTGTTGTAGGATGCCGCCGCCGCCACAACCATGGGCAGTATTGAACACAGGATGAACCATGGGATTGTTCTCCACCAACCGTTAGATAAGGTTAGGCGGAGAGGAAACACCTCCATTTCTTCTCAGCCTTGGCCTTTCAACCTTGAAATCATATCAGTGTTGACCTATAAAAAGAAGAAAAAAACACCATTCAATATAAGCCCTTGTTATAACTATGCTTGTTATTTAACTTTATATACATATACTTTATATATATACTTTACATATAGACTTTATATATTTCTTCATATATACTTTATGTACATACTATATATGGTATAAAGTATATATATATGATCGTGCGTAGCACTCGGTGGAGTAGGAAGGTATGAAATTACCACAGGACAATTCAGGCCAATTGCCACAGGAAATGATAAACTGCCTTACTTCAACCATGAAATCACGCTGCAGGGCCTGTAAAAAGTATTAAGCCATTTTTTTTTCTGTGTTTATTCTGCAACCGTTGTTTCATACCTTCCGACTCCAACAAGTGTTACGCATGATCATGCGTGTGTATTACAATTGTTGATTGGTTATTTGTTTTGTATTGTATCATTGTATGTACATTTCATCAAAATCGTTCAGTATATATATATATATATATATNATATATATATATATTGCAAATGACTAACTTATTTTATTTTTAGAAGACCTCAAACGATAAACACACAATTTAAAAAAAAAAAAGACATGCGAAGTACATTTTAGCGGGTATAGAAGTTCATTATGAAAGAAGTGAAACGGATTTTCGGGGAGTTTATTTGGAAAATAATGCAGCGTGCGTTTTATTTTCAGTAAAATGTCATTTATTTATTTTACAAACTACTTGTAAAGAGCCGTTGTAGCTCAGGGGATAGAACGCTCGCCTCCCAATGAGGTGAACTGGGTTTGAATCCCAGCCGATACGAATTCCGCCCCCGGCAGCACCACAGTAAAATATCCTCAGTGGTAGACGGATCATAGTACCCTTGATGTCAGGTTAACCGTGGGAGGTTTACGTGATTTTCCTCACCATGTAACTAAAATGCGGGTTAGTTCCATCAGAAAGTTCTCCACAAAGGCAAATTTCTCCCTAAACTTAATCCAGGAGTTCCTTTGTCTTCTGGATTGGATTTAAAATAGCAAGGCTACGTAGATGAAGTCGTAAACTGGATTGCTTGTTCAACGCCATATAAAAACTACTTGTAAAACGTAGTTTTCAAAAATTTCCTTTTATTATTTTTCTTCTTTTTGGTTTTGTTAATTCGATTTTATCGAAACGAAGGGAGACATTTGGGCAGGATATAAATTAGCAATAAACTACAAAATATATTTCGAAATATTTAAAAAAAAAATGATTTCTAATACTAAAAAATATATATGTATTTTTTTAAAAAAATACCTCTAAATATTTTTAGATATTTAAAGAATATTTCTAGACATTTATAACTATTCCTAGGTATTTTAAAAGATATTTTAAATATATTTAAAGAGAAATATTTAGAAAATAAGAATCCTGACATAATTTCAACCCAAATGAAACTTTTAGTACATTTCAGAAATATTGTATTCATAAATTAACTTGAATAATAAAATTCATAAAATACTATACTTATAAATTACAATTAAGTTATGTTATCTTCTGAAATGCAATGTTAGAGAAGGCAATTCACAAAATCTGATTCCTTCCAGAAAGTTTCTTTTAATATCTTCAAAGTATACGTTTTTTAAAGAGGAATTAATGAATATTTTATGTGGAATCAATTCGATCCCAGTATTAACAGCACAGATTCTTTTTTCTGCGTTAATATTTATTTATTTTTTTTATGACTGTTAATTATTTATAACAATGCTCTGAACTAAAGTTAACAAGCCTCTCACAGTTACATAATTTTCCTTTTCATACTGTGCAACAACAAAAATTAATTACTTTGTTTCAGATATAAAAAAAAAGAGTTATAAATTTTTATTTTAGCGATCCGTAGAATTTGCTGAATATCAGATCTCAACTTATTGATGTTGGTGGTTGTGTATTGTTAATGCAAAGTCATTTAATCACTTCCCCTACTTATTATTTTAAAGATAAAAAATTTAAAAAATCAGCATATATTTTTGTTATTAATAAATGCAAGGAACTAAAATAAAACATAATGCATAAGTTTCAAATTGAAATTTGAATTCTTTTTTTTTAATGGGTAAGAAATATTAAATTTAAAATCAGTTTACTATCTCGGACCAATGAAATAAGTTAAATATGAGTCCTTGTAGGATAAAAGAAGGGACAACACAAAGTGATACTTTTCAAACGTCAGTGAAGGAATACGCCTCTTATTGATAAGTCAATTCATCAACCATCACACAAAACACGTTGTGCAGTTTCAACATCAAAACTCCCACTCACAGCAGATTATGTTTTTTTTTTCTTTGTTTTTTTTTTGCTTCCGTCCGAGTAAAAACGTAATAAAACAAAATGTACTCACAGATTCTGCTAAGCCCGAGTTTTCTCGGGATGATATATATTTCCAATATATGCGTGCCCGAGTTAACTCGGCATCATCAGGGAAGAGGTTAATGAATGCTCTAGGGATTACCAAATACGATAAAAGAAGAAAGAAATTGTATTTTAAGATTCAGCGCTATATACAGAATTCCCAACAAGGTGTTGTTGTTGTTCATTTACGTCTCACTAGAGCTGCAGAATGGGCTTTTGGCAACGGTCTGGAAAACATCCCCGAGGACGATTCGAAGACATTCCATCACAATTTTGATCCTCTGCAGAGGGGATGGCACCCCCGCTTCGGTAGCCCAACGACCTGCACGCGAAGTCGGGTACTTTACTGTAGAACAATTTAGCAATGACCCATACCGCGCACCCTCGTACTCTACGCAGACTGATCCAAGTGGTCAACCACCCACACACTGACGATATGATCAGCTCACCATACCTCATAGAACAGAGAAGGCCTCAGCACGGCTTACCATAAACAAGACATTTTGATCATTTAGAAGTCCAAACGCAATAACATCTACCTAGTAGCCCGAACGTAGTGACATCTTTAGAGAAAAGTAAGGAGGTACGAAATTCCTGTTTAATTGTTAAATTTGGGTTGAACATTAAAAATAAGCATATTTTAAGCACTCATTTCGAGCTGCGTCAATATAAAACATTGACAATATGTAAAAATAAACGGTGTTAAGAACTAAGTCTGACGAGGGAAAAAGGAAAGGCAAAATCAATGAATATCTTGGGATCACGTATATTACAAACGAAAAAAATCTTCGGGGGGTGATTTCTTGAAAGGAAGACTCTCGCTACTACAATATTCGATACACTCTATTACAATAATGTTCCCGACGAACTTGTATATGAATTAATGCTATCCACCTCTCAATATGGCAATAAACCCTGTAAAACGATTTTTTTTCCTTCAAATTTCAAACTTATTTTCTCCATTTATTCAAAAAAATGCAAAAAAATCTTATTTCATCATATTTTGCCCTTTTTTCCGGTCTTTTCTGACAAGAGAAGACTCACTGCTAATTATCTTATAACTTTTCACCACAGTGAATGGCTTTTGTATTCAGATTTCAATACGCCATCCTTGATGTACATTGACCACCCCCAAAACTGTTCCATTCTTAGAATTGCCTCCCTTATCTCCTAAGAAGTCACAGATGTAACATTCCTTTCTGATTTCATACTTGACCATAATTACCACTCTGCAAACTAAATTTTTATATATTATATAAATAGATTTATAGTTAATACATCTATAACATTAAAGTTTTAAAAAAAAATCTTATTGAGTTCCTAAAGTACGTAGGCCCTCGATATAATAATATATACCTCTACAACAGTATATTTATTGGGTACGCAAAATAATTGTTGTAGCGAGGTTTTACGGTAATTCAGGGCCGGATAAAGCGTACGCGGGGCCCTAGGGCCATTCAAATTTTCGGGGCCCTTCGATTAAGTAGTTTTTCTCGTATATTTTTTATTTATTCAAAGTATTTATGATATCTTTTCATTTAAGAAAGTATATTTAAAATAAAAGTAAATAATAATAAATTAAATTTTACTTTATTTTGTTAAATTAGAACTAAAAAATAATCATAACATTTTGAAAAAATTTTAATATATATTTGAAATTGATTTTATTTTTTTTTAAAAAAATCATTGTTTTTCTTAATTTTTTTAAATTCATTTTCAAAAAATCCATTTTAAGGGGGGGCCTAGTCTGGCCTACTGGGTAATCCGGCACTGCTTTCATATTTATTTTATAAATAGCGACAAATAATTTGACCATGCATGCTGTCCACATAAGCTCCTTTTAGAGCAAAGTCACTTATTTTGTTCCATGAAAATCGTTTTCAATCGGAACAAAAAGTTTCCTAGAATTCGTCCACTTCATTCGCTGATTGGAACAACTCCAGTTTCAATCTCTTCTATTATCAGAGTACCATCTGTATAACGGAAGACATTCTCTTCTAAACAAGTACTCCCTTTTAAAACAAAACCGAGACGTTAAAGGGGAAAAAATACCCTTATTTACCGAATAAAGGAACACAATTTCCACGAATTTGCTGACTGAAGCCTGAAAGTTCTGTAGATAGAACGTAGTTTTCTGCTAATGTTATCGCATCCAATCGCGGAGCACCACCCGAAACCTTGTTCCACCCCTTAGATTTTTCTATTATCGAATACTCTCAGTTCTTTGGGTCCTTTTACTGTGTAATAAATCGCGCCTAATGTCCAATAACTGTTCTCTTGATTAGGCAGCCACCCATCAAAATGAAAACAAAAAAAAGGGGGTGCATCTCTCGGGATCGAACACTTAGTTCGAAGCACTGATCTGCTTTGTTCGCGGAAGGCGGCCTGATAATGGATGACTGATAAATCATAGGATAGCAGCGAAGAATGTCAGGATACAGTATCTGATATTTTGTACTCACTAGTCAGGGTGCACTGTCCAATTTTCAAAGCCTCTTAAGCACTATTTTAAGTACTTAATAATAAAAAAAGAAGTAATATAAAAAAAAAGTCCACAAAGAAAATATTTATTTTAGTTACTTTTTATTAAATAATTACAACTCCCACATAAAACTAAAATTTATTAATTAAGTTTAATGAATGAATTAATACTTGAAAAAAACTATATTAACATCGAAAAAAAATGTATTTGAACTTGAATGCATGCATAAAAAGTATTTTATTAACATTTGAGCAAGATAATAGGGCAGAGTGTGAAAAAAGAAAATCATGATTAGGATATGCACATTAAGAAAAACATTTTCTTCCTATTGATAAAAATTCCTCATCTATGTGTACATAAGAATAACAACAAGCCAAAACTTTTTCAGGTTTTACAAAACTACAGAATTATGTTAAAATGACTAGTTTTTCATTTTTATCACCTCTCCTACGATGGTAAATATTTATTGACAATTCAGGTGCAACAAAGAATTCAAAAGTCTCTAGGACCACTCAAATGTGTCTCAGACCATCATAAAATAATCACACTAAACAAAACAATCGAATGCAGTAGAAATAGTACGCTTTTTTATTCATTTTGATTTTTAGTTCCCTGTTTTGCACTTAATTCATCAGAATTGTGAACCGTTATTATTCACTTAAACTACTTCTGACACAGGAAAAAATGTACGGATATATTTTAGTGACTGTTGTTTGGGTCCAGTGCCAAAATTTTCTTAATTTCTACCCCAGTTACAGGATTAAAAAATTATGAAAGAGTTATCCTGCGTTATCGATACACTGTAAGAAGAAAAATAATAATTACCAAAATTATGTCAAAAAATTATAAGCCATCTTTTGCTTTAAACTCAATATTCACCCCATAAATACATAAGTTACTGCACTCAGTCATAACTAGGATTCGAACAGGAAGTCACTATGCATAAAGTGCTTTAAAATAAAAAATATGTGGGAAAACTGGTCATTAGATAAAACTCTTTATTGATCCAGATTACTTTCTCCTCGTGATTTGTACAGGCCAAATTATTAAATACACTCTAAGATTCTATGTGAAATCTTAATTATATATAGGTGATACTCTACAGCTTTATTGTTTTTACGAGAGTGTTTGCACTTGCTTACGATCAAATGGTTAACATTGTAATGCAATACGTTAAAAATAAATACAAGTAGGAAGTATATAAAAAAAAACTCATGACATGCATGCTTAAATATAAAAGTATTGCATCTAAACTCGTGCAAAACGTGTCATTACTACAGCGCGTTCAATAATTTGTTCTAATTATTATAATACACTTTTATAATACCTGATATAATAAATATTCTATAATTAAATAATATACCATTTAATGTATCCACTCGTCGAATTTATATTATAATATCGTCTCATTTTACCCATTGATACACTAACGTAAACAAGTGCAAACCGGTTTCAGTCGCGTAAAATCCTGCATAGTATCACCTGATAATTAAGATTTTATACAGCGTCTAATAATTTGACCAGGGACTGTAAATTTATCATCAAGATCACAATACCATTTCGAACTTTTTGTCACCGAATACGTTCCCGCATTCTTTCAGAGGTAAACATTTTGAGCAAAATAAAAAAGAATAATAATGAAGTTTAAAAATTTCTTATCACGCTTATAAATTAAGATTGATGGTTTGTCTACGGTAAGAACTCCCCTGGCCACAAAGTCTGCTACTATGGAAACTGGAATAGCGCATTTCAGCAAGGGTAGCCTCTCTTCACTCTAGGGCTAACACTGTAAGATTCCCTTTCTCTCGCCGACCCGAGTAAAAACTGTTCTAAACATCGTTACTTGAAATAGTTATACCTCGTTACCATAGTCACTGTTATAGACGAATGACTAGGGAAGTTATTTACATAGACAAACTATAACTTTTACTTTGTTTACATTAGAAACTGGTAACGGAATTTCGATTCGAGGTAAATATATTACTCACACCATTAAAAAAAATATTTGTAACTCGTATTAGCAACCAACACAGAACTCTAGTTGAAATTTGGGCACTCTAGCTAATCATAAAGTGGTCGGAATTTCGACTGAAAGATTTCCCGCACAAAAGCGAGAAAATAAAAATGATAAACTATATCTGATAAGAAAAGTATCAGGTTTTTGCGACTGATACTCAGTTGAGCAGTTTGTGACTGTCAGTTAATATAGGTCTAAATGAACGAATCCATCAATCATTCGACATCGGTAAAACACGTCTTTTGATATCAATTTGCGACTGATACCAAATTTGATGACGACTGATACTGTAACTGATCCGAAAAAACCCTAACAGGACTAAATTAATTTCGACTGATGCTGTAACTGATCCGAAAAAAAATCTAAAACAAATTGATGTTGATCGATAGTGTAACTTAGTGTTTCCCAAAATGTGGTACGCGTACCCCCAGGGGTACGGGAACAGTTTAGAAGAGGCATGCGTTCTTATGCGAAATATCTTGCAACAAACGAAAATTGCAAAAAATTTTATTCAAAAACAGAGGTAGACATGAAAATTTACGATTACGTATTTTTCCAATTGGTTAACAGTGTTCCATTGTTAACAGTTAATATTGAGTGGTGTCAACAGCCAGTTTTGATTTTTAACGTTTGTGCAATTTTTTTTATAGTAAAAAGTACATTCATTTTGTTATCAGTGGTACACAGCGTTACGAAAAATTTAGAAGGGGTGCACCAAAGTCATAAGTTTGGGAAACACTGGTGTAACTGATCCGAAAAAAATTAACTATATTGATTTCGACTAATACTGTAACTCAGTGTTCCCCAATCCTTTTATCACCGCGGACCTGTCAACGTTTGATAATTTTACCTAGCCCCGCTGGGGAGGGGGGGGGAATTTATTGTTTATATTTTAGATTATTTTGATTTATTAATTTTAATTTAATTGCATTTAAACATGCCTTCAGAATAAAGTACACGACGACTCATACTGAAACTGATCCGGAAAGAAAAAAAACTACTTATACTACTGTACACTACACCCAATGACTATAAGAACAGAAGGAACTTACCTCTACTCTTCAGCTCTTGTAGTCCTTAACATCGATAGTCACTCACAAACGACAGACTCTCAGCAGAAGAGATCAGCTGAAATAAAATAAAAAAAACATTAGAACTGTAATAACACACTTCAGTCAAAAGAAATGTTGGGAGAGGGGGGGGGAGTAGACCACAAAACAGAACGCCTTTTGAAATTGGACAAGTAAGGAACCAACAGGGGACGGACCCCACGTTAATTAGGCATTAGCGGGATTCCGTGAGCCCCGCGGTTTAGGCTAGGGTCAAAAATCTCTGTAGTTTATGGCAGAGAGACGCCCCCCGCTGTTCGAAAAAAAAGAAAATGTTTCTCCTTTTTCTAAACATGCCCACTGGGAACTAAAATATTCCCTCGTCGAATTTTTTTTTTTTTCTCAATGTCATTCATAGCTGTGATTTTACATTTGCAAAAAAAAAAAGTCAATTTTCTTCGACAGGGTGCGTAGCCAAATCCTTTAATAAAAATAAGCACCTTTCAAGTACTTTTTTAAGCACTCAAAAAAATATTTTTAAGCACAATATACATTAACAAAATGCAAAATAATTTTCAAAGACATGATCGTGATAAAATGATTAGTTTGTGACAAAGAACTCTTTTTCTTGATTATATTATCCATTATAAAATTTTTCGTTTCGATTTCAGAAGGTGGAAAGTGAAGCTTGAGTATCATGCGGCAGATGAGAGAGCAATTATCTCACTTCACTAGAAGCACATGGGGGGCCCGCAAGTATACAAATGATGGGCGCTTTCATACGCAACGGACCGACACTATGCCGAAATGAATTGTAAAAACGTTGAATAGAAAAATGTAAAAATTACGCTTTTACATAATACGTGGGGGAAATTGAGATGGTAAAGAAAAAAAAAAATCTCATTTTGAAAAAGGGAAAATGAAGCACTTTTTAAAAACACCCCATGAAAAAAAAAACACCTTTAAGGACTTTTAAAAAACGAAAATCAAAAATTAGCACTTTTTAAAAACGATAAGCACCATTTTCAGCAGTGATCTCTTGAAATCTCAGTCACACTAATTGCCACCCACACATAACGAGAAAAATAAATTGATTTTGGAATGATTGCATCTGCTGATGAATGAGACAAAATTGTTCTGCCACCGAATTTTTTTTATTCAATACGGACACCATTATTAGTTTTAAAATTTTTTTTTAAATAGGTATGTGTGTTGACGATATGAAATGGTTGAGGGGATCAAGGGGGTGGACGGGAAAGGGGATGAGGAGATAAAATAAGCCGATTGTCCGGTGGCAAAGGTTGAATTCGAAAACAGCTCCCAGCCGTCTTGAAGCCATTTATTAAAGCTAAGCCCCCTTCATGATGCGAGCCCCTCTGATCGTGAGATGCTTTCCCAAAGGGGTTGAGAGAGTGTTCGATTATCGTCCTCCCCCCCTCCCCCCTTTTTTTAATGGCGCCCAGAGATGCAAGGTTTTTATCCCTTAAAACCTCTTCTATGTGAATATGTTCTAGAAAGAGATTTATTTATTTATTCTGCATAGCTGAACATTTTATGGTTCTATTGTTTATGGGTTGGATACCGACGAAGAAAAAGCATAATGAAAAGAAGAGGGTATCTTTTTTTATTATTTCTTTTTTTTTTTTTTTACCATAATTTAACTCCTCGATATTTTTATTTGAAGTTGAAAACGTTGAAATTTTGAAATTGAATATACTTTGACGTGACTCACATTTGGATTAAGAGAGAAGCGGGAAAATATTCAGAGATATATAAAAGGAATAAATAAATAACAAAAAAAAAAAAANAAAAAAAAAAAAAAAAAAAAAAAAAAAAAAAAAAAAAAACTATTCAAGTGGATGGAAGGCTTTTATAAAAGATCTTATTCGAATGACTTGAAGTAATTTTCAAACAGTCATCACAAAGTATATAAAATGCAATAATTTCATCCTCAGATTCCAAAATAAGAACTGGTTAAATGTTATCTCAATAGGATCTGGAACTAATAAGAAACGGGGAACCACCAAAATCTCCGACATATATATATATATATATANATATATGGATATATATATATATATATATATACCTTTTAATTACTGAAGAGAAGGACTAGTTAAAATTCCAATAGAGTCAGGAACAAAATCTGTGCTAAATAATCTATTAATTTAAATAATAATTTTAATTAAATAATTTTTTATTTTAATTTGCAAATTTGTTTAACAGTAAAAAAAAAATATTGTAAAGCAATTGTGGGGGTCAGCGTGCAGGAGCAATGGCAGGGAGACCCCAGTACAATAAATAAACGACACATTGAGGTAAGATATTATTTTAACAATGAATTTATTACTCATAAAGTAGAAGGAGAAAACTATGAAATACGTTATTGAAATAAGGAGACGAAAGATTTGTAAATAAATAATAGTCTAACTAGACAATGATCCGAAGTTCGTTACTTTGTGTTGGAAGATTGATTTTTTATGACCTACACGCAAAGCCAGTATTAAAAAAAAATACAGCTCTCTCTGGCTACTGAACGAACGACAAACTGTTCACTGATAATACGCTTTAAATCTGTAATCAAAAGAGAATCCTCTCCAAAACTTATCATTCCAGGTTTTATGATTCTTTGAAACAAAGAAGCCAATTATTATCAAAAAGAAACGCTGATTATTGTTTTAAATTTGAAACCCGCGACGGTGATTAAGTTTACACACAGTCCAGACCACGACACGAAAAAAAAAATGATGATGATTGACAAGAGTTACGATTTTTGCCTGGAATAGTTAATTATGTAACCTAATTATGGTTTGGAATGGTTGTTATAGAGAAGGGGATTGTTGATTTAACCGTCGTTGCGTGAGGGAAGGGAAAATTCAGCCATCGGCGAAATCACGAAGTGCACCATCATTATCATTTTGGCTCGTTTGGAAATTTTGTTCGAAAATGAATTATTAGGCCTCCCTAAAAGTCTGTGACTCTAGAAAGGATGTCGCCCTCTTTGGGATTAAACTCATGAATACTATTTCATTTTTTCTCTAGAAGATTTATTAAGTCTTCCTAGGGATTGAAACGGATTTATGAAAAGAAATTCATCAGGCTTAGCACCTAAAATTAACTTCCCGCGTTAAAATTTTTAATGATTTTTCCATGGATGGACCAACATAATCTTGGTGGTAACCGTCACGAACCATTGCATTTTTTGATGGTAACCTTAATGTAGGACTGATTGATGAGGGTCCAACATAAGAATAGCATGGCTTGTGTTCATCTTGAACCATCATGAATTTAAATCATAGTAGCTTAGAAATCAAATGCTGGAACGATCATGAACAACCACCATTCGGATTGATTGATGATGGTCTAACTAAATTGTTTTGATTCCTGAGAACTAACAAAAAGTATTCCCATCGTGGATAGTTGGAAACATCATGAACCATCACGGCCACGAGAGTCCTCTTGAGGGTTAACCCTCATGCATTTCCCATCATGGAATGATGGAAGTATGTTGGCATATCAAAAACCAGGAACACTAATGGAAAATGTTGGATGAGGGTGACCATCAAATTATGCTGAACAGTCATGAATCGCACTGAAACTAACATAAACCATCAACATTTTTTAGATGGTATTTGAATGAGCTTTTGGAACAATTTTAATACTGAAAGACTTATTCTCGTATATGAATTGAAACTTGGTTTTAAATGAAGCTTTTGAAACAATTCTGAAAATTAAACGTTACTCTCGTATATTAATTTCAATCTGTATATGAACGAAATTTTAAAAACCATCAATACAAAGCGAACAGAAAACAAACAGATTCTTGGGAATGAAATGCCACAACAAAAACAGAGGGGTGAAAAAAAGGTGACAGGCCTTTATCTTGTCTAATGGCAACAATGTATTACAGACATTCTTTTATCTAGAAAAATGTCTTTTGGCCAACGATTAGGACCTCTCCTCCACTGGCTGCTGGGATTCCCAAAACTAGTTTCTCCCTCCGCGTCCATCCTCAGCAGAGAATTATTTCCCCTGCACGAATCTCGTTTGCATAATTTCGATCCCCCTTCCTCCCGATGGGGGGGGAAGGGGTGGAAGTTGTAATTTATGACCGGCATTCGTTTCTTTTGACAGCGTTCACCGAAGAGAGGGGGGGGGGGTCTCTCTCCAAAGAGGCAAAATGAATTTTCTAACCATCGTTCCTTTTTACTGGGCTAAGAATATTTCGACATGACTCAATTTAAATTTGAAACAAATCAATTAAAAGTAATATATTTTAATAGAATATAGATAACAGTCACTACAGATTTTTAATATTTCGGAATACAAAATAATATTATTAAAAAAAAGCAGCATTCAATGAATAAAAATAAATGTTTACTTAATATTAATTTTTTTTTTTTTTTTTTGACAGAGTCTCACTCTNTTTTTTTTTTTTTTTTTTGCTACCTTCAAATTCTTAAGAGATGCGCTGCAACGTAATGAAATCAATCACACTAAAAAAATTCTATTCTTTTGAGAAAAAAAAAAAAAAACTTTTAAATTTTTTTTCTCGTTATTATCCTAAAATTAAAAAAAATGTAGTCGCAATTAGCGACGACCCTTTTAATTCGGCGATTACACTTTAACCTCTTTTTTTTTTTTTTTTTTTTTTTTTTTTTAAAAAAAAAGCTTAAAATTTGAATCCTTCTGTAAAGAGAAAAATTCACATTATTAACTCAGGCTCCGTGTTGGCCTAGAGAATGGAGCGTTCGCCTCCTAATGAGGTGAATCAGGTTCGAATCCGTCCTAGATTCGAATTCCGCATCCGGCTTGCACCGACCACAGTGCTGACGTAAAATATCCTCAATGGTAGACGGATCATCGGTTAGAGTCCCCTAACCGTCAGGCCAACCCTGGAAGGTTTCTGTAATTTTCCTCTGCGCGTAACGCAAATGTAGGTTAGTTCCATCAAAAAGTCCTCCACGAAGGCAAATTTCTCCCACTACTTGATCCAGGAGTTCACTTGTCTTCTGGATTAGGTTCAAAATGACAAGGCTACGCAGTTTGAACATTAGTAGTCGTAAATCCTAAATTGGG